ATGTGTCCCTCGGTCTGCACACATCAGGAGGCAAAGCAAAGCAAAAGCAGCGATGAGCGACGGACGGACGGCACGCGCTGTTACCGCTTCCTCTTCTTCGGACGTACGCCGTTGCGCCGAAACAGGATGTACCCGTGCACGCCGCCGCCGTCGACCGCCAGCACCAGGGTGTTGTGTCTGCACCAAGAACAATAGCAGCCCGTCAGCGACCAGCCCCTCGCTCGTGTGACACACAGTGTGTGGCGTGCGGCGCCGTGTTGTATCCTACGGCTTCATGGCCTCCTCCACCAAGCGCTGGCCGAGGCTGTCGCTCTTGGAGAAGCTCCTGCGGCAACGCACACAGGCAAGAACAATAGGCAGACGGGAGCGTCGTGAGGAAGAGGATGGGGCGCAAGAGGGCGCGGAGACACAGCTAAGCCGGAGAGAGCCGCCAACTCCATCGGCACCGTCGAGTCGGGTCGAGCCGACACCTGCAAATGGCGCTGCCGCCCGCTAGTAGCTGTTATTATCACCGCACTTTTTCTCCAGACGCACGGCCTGCGCGAGCCACTCCGCTTTCGTCTTCTTGGTCACGACCACCAGCTCCACCTTCGCTACTTCGGCCGGCGCCCCACTCGCTCGTACCGTCGCCGTCATTGGTTCGAGCTCGAGTGAGTATTTGAATTCGAGTGGCGCCAAACGCCACTAAAGCCTAGTTAGCCATCTGGCAAATCGCCATTGAGACGCTCCCAATTGCGTCTGTCGGTGTCCCATTGAACAGCGATGGTTGACATTGAGGTGCCAGTTAAAATACTCCATTATTCGCACAATCCCTAGTCCACTAATAGCTAATTCTGCCTTATACGACTCGGCCGACGACTCTGCATTGCATCCGTCCTGCACTGCAGCAGCAGCAGCTCCGTGCCCTGCCACTGCTGTAGACAGACTCCATCCATGCATGCATGCATGTACGCACGCGCGCGTTGCCAGCTCGATACATCTACAGTACAATACACGACGACCCACGCCACCTCGCCTGCCCGCCCGCTTAGCTCGCTTGGTTGCAGGCCAACGCGGACGCCGCGCCGTCCCGGGGCCGATGCAGCACCGGGTGCTGCCAGATCTCCTCCATCGTGATGCGCTCTGTCGGGTCCACGCTCAGCATGCGCGCCAGCAGGTCCTGCATAGGCTCCGACACCTCCTGGCCCAGCCCCCACGCCGTGAACACCGCCTTGATACCGCGCTTGGCCACGTACCGGAAGCCCGGGTCCGACGGCTCCGCGCGCTCGAACGGCGGCGACGACGTCAGCAGGATGAAGAAGGCGATGCCCGCCGACCAGATGTCGGCCCGCCGCGGGTCGTAGTGCTCGCGCGCCACGATCTCCGGCGCCATGTAGTAGTTCTTGCCCACCGTCTCGTCACAGCGGAAGCCACCACCACCACTGCTGCTTCCGTTGCCGTCGCCGCCGCTCGTCGGACTGCCAGCTGGACTGCCGCCCACCGCCGACGGGTCCTGCACGCACAGGCCAAAGTCCGCGATCACCGCGCGCCCGTCACGCAGCAGAATGTTCTCGAGGCTCACGTCTCGGTGCGCGATGCCGTGGCTGTGCAGGAAGCGCAGGCCCGACAGCACGTCCACCAGGTACCGGTGCGCCACGCTCTCGTGCAGGCGCTTGGACCCATCCACGCCGTTGAGGAATGGGCCGCCGCTGTCCTCCGGGATCGGCTCCTCTAGAGTTGCTAGTGTCGCGGCCGCTACTGCGTCTTCTTTTTGATTGCCCTGGCCGTCGCTGTCACTGCCAACGCTACTGCCGCTCTTGTCCTCGTCCGCCGTGACGGGCTGCACGCACGCGTCCAGCAGGTCGCCGCCCTCGCAGTAGTCGAGCACCATGTGCAGCACGCCGCCGCCCCTGGCCACGAAGTAGCTGTGCATGTTGATGACGTTCGGGTGCCCGCCCAGCGCGCGCACGCGGTCCAGCACCTCCACCTCGTGCAGCACGTTCTCCTGCACGAGCTCCTGCGAGCGCGACTTGTGCTGGAGCGCCAGCTGCAGGTCCACGGTCTTGACGACCACGCGCTCGTGCGTGAGGCGGTCGCGGCACAGCAGGATCTCGCCGAAGATGGCCGCGCGCAGCGACGCCTCCATCTCGTAGCGGCTCGTGCCCATGTCGGTGTCGGTGTCGGTGCCGGTGCCTGTCTACTTGTCCGCGGCTAATGGACGCGTCCAGCTCGCGTGTTGAAGAGTGACCGAATGCGAGGAGTGAGGAGGTGAGACCGTCGGCCGACCGAACTCAAATGATCGCCCTCGTCCAACTGTAACGAGGTGTGGGCGACGACCGTCGGCCAACAAGCAAGGAACTCTGCGACTGCGAGCGAGTACTGCAGCTTCGGCTACTCAGGGCGCTCCAGATGCCGCCGCTGCTGTTGCTGCTGCTTGGCGCAGTCGAGAAAGGGCTGTCGTCGGTAGGCGAGCCCCAGCTGGCGCGCTCTGCGTGTTCAAGGCGAGCGGCGGTGATTCGGCTGAATCAAAACGCGTGTTGGGGGCGTCTGGCGAATGGAAATCAGACGCTGCGGCGCGCTTGTGGGCTCGGAGGCGGATCGGGAAGTGCTCGCTGCTTGCCCGCTCGATCGATCGATCGATCCCGCCCAATTCTTCTACACCGTATCATCATCTTTGGCCGTCCGTTACAGCGGCTTGAGTATCCCCTCATTTGCAGCAGAATCTTTACCTACTCTCTCCAGCTTTGCCTTCGAGAGCCTTCGAGCACCTATCACCAGATAGCCCTGAAATGGCCGTTGAGCTGCATCCCGCCGGCCGGCATATCAACCACAGCAGGCGGCCAACAACGGGTAGCAAGAAACCAGGCGTGCGTTTTGGCTCGGACGGGCGAGGTTGCACACGACCCCACTTCTGGGCCGCGCGCAACATCCAAGGCGCGAATACAACTCATGGCTAGCTAGCTCGATTTTTGGTTGCGCTAAGTGAGGCCATTGCTGCAGCTGAAGTTTCGGCTCGCTGATCCCTTGCATCCGAGTCCAGTAGATGGATATCTGCGTCGTCGCATGGCTTCGATGTCTGCGAAACACGACGGGCGCGAAATCGCGCCAGCGGAGGCACCGCACGTCCCAGTCCGATAGACAATATTGTAATACAGTAAATATTTGGGTTCTCCAATAAAAATCTTTATTATTGGACGCACCGGGTTCCAATACAATATCATATTGACCCAACTATTGACAATAAATATGATAAAAGTCCGCTGGCATAGGATTTTCGACTGATGATGCTAAATTCTAGTCGCTAAGAGCATAAAACGCTTACTTAAATGCCATATTCGAGTAGCAGCTATTGTGCTTTTCAGTTGTTTTGGCGAATCGGACGTGTAAAACAGCTACCTACTAAGATGGGGCTAGGTTATCGGAGCAGATTAGCAGTGAATTAGGACCTAGAATTGCTAGTCCGATGGAAGCACTTGCGCAGGTCCTACAAACAGCCGAAAGCCCGAATGTCGCCCATTTTCACGGCATTCGGGGTTTGAGGTCTTACGAAGGACTCCTGCCATGTCTTGTGGCAGGACTTTCATACGAGCTGACTCTAATACGGCGTATGTCAAACGCAGAATAAACTTAGGGAAACACGATGCAGTCGCTACGTTAAACACTCCAGTCTTCGCCCTTCGCCTTCGCGGGTTCCGGCACTGCTTGCTTCCCTAAACAAAGCTTGCTTGGCTTGGACTCCGGTTGGAGTCCATTGAACGGAGGGACTCCGGGAGACCGCTCATCGGACTCGTCTGTGGTGTAGGGAACATCAAGTTTTGTGTCACACTCCACGGCCGCAGTGGAACAACGTACCAGGAGCCAAGTACTACTCGGCGGGATGCCGAGCTCAGTGGGCAAGAATGCGCTGGTGGACGACCGCTGAACTCGGCTGATGGTGTCAGAAACTCAAGGCACACCGGCTTCGACCTGGTGACACGTGGCAGGCCCAGTGATGAAGACCCAGCCGAGTTCAGGAAGGCACTGGACACACTCAGCCGAGATCATGGGGAGTTCAAGCCGCCGAGCTCGGCTAAACGGTACCATGTACCGTCCGATACGGTAACCAGGCTCAATTGAGTCCGGGAGTCGCGCAGTCGAGTTCACGGGTCGCTCCGCCGAGTTCGCGGGTCGCTCCGCCGAGTTCACTGGGTTATCCGGCTCAGCCGAGTTCACCGGCTTATCCGGACACTTTATCCGGCTCAGCCGAGTTCGAAGAGTTATCCGGACGCCTTATCCGGACCAGCCGAGCTCAAGCGTCGCTGCGCTCAGCGAAGGGTCGGCCGAGATCCAAAACCACCCACTTTCATTTGGTATTTGTATAGGATCTTAGGAATAGTAGAGGCGCCCCTTCAGGGCGCCCGACAGAGATAACAAGCAAACAGAGCATAATTTTCTAGGTCCACAACACGTGCACGCGCTTCCAGTAAGCCCCTGCACGGGCCGGATTATGTCTGCTGTCAGCACCCGAGAGGCATAGCTTGTAGGGTGTTGACTGGTAGCGCCAAGAGATTAAGGTCGGCCCGGGTTGGGCGCGTGTCTCGCCAAGCGCGAAGGAAAAGTCTCGCCACCGCTGCGAGCCGGTGTTCCCGTACGTCCCGGGCACTGATTGCTGAGTCGAGAAGCCTTTGCTCTCGGCGGCCCGTAAAAGCCCGCGAGGGCCGTCGTCCGTCCTTTGGCGGAGGGCACGGGATTTCTAATTCCGGAGTCAGGTAACTCAGCTGGCTTCCGTGATTGATTGGCTAGGGGTACTTGGTCTCGGCGAGGACGAGACATCACTGTCCCGGAAGGGCCGAACCGCTGGGGGACATCTCAGCGCAGGCCAACAAGGGCCGACTAGCTCGGCTGTTGTTGTGTTTGTAGCTAGGGTGCCACATCGGACGATTTTGTGCGTGCCACTACGCCACAACTGGTGCCGCGACCCGGGAGCAGGGTGGTTTGTTTTCGTTGGTACCAAGTCAACCGAGTTTCGAGTACTGAGCAAGATGGTCAAGAGGAGATCGTTGCCGAGCCGGGCCGGCCCAGCGACGGCTGGGGGTTCGCTTCACACGAAGCCGAACTCAGCTGGCGGAAGGATCGCCGACATGACGATGGAAGCGGTCCCAACCGTTCGGTTTAGCGACGACCGCACCCAAGACCGAGGAAGAGATGGAAATATTGGCGATTATGATGAAGAATGGAAGAAAGCCGAGTTGCTCAGCGGGGTAGCTGAGTTCTTGCTGCATGTTGGGCGCATGGAGAAACCTCGACGAGCCCAACAAAACCTCGCAGCCGAGCTCGGTGACGATGCGGACGACGACAGTCAAGCCGTCGCTCCAGGGGACCGTCCGCCCCTGATACAACGAGCGACGAGGGCATCCAGCGCGAAATGCCCGAGTTGGGATTCGATGCCGAACGTCTCGTGGGAAACCTTTCCACTCGACTAGGGGCAATCGAAGAAATGTGAAACCCGTCTGCAAATGGTGCAAGTTGCAGATGCGGTCTAAGGTTATTGCACCAAAGTGATGATCCGCCGACTCAGTGAAGACAGCAGGCTGGGTCGAGTCGAAGAATGATACTGCGTCAACTGTATGGATTATATGAATTACATGATATCGAAATGGAGTGAGCGAAGATGGAGCTGGAAAGCAAGAAGCCCATTCGCCGGGTTAGCGTTGGAGTCGGCGCGAAGTCTCAGCCGAGTTGCCGAGCTGAGCGGTTAAGCCCAGCTGGTCTGACAACGACCCAGTGAAGAAGCTGAGGGAGGTGATGGTGCGTCTGCACAGATTGAGCGAGTCAGCCGTCGATGCCGAAGCTGTGTTGACTCGTCACTGGGTCCGTGAACACGCTACCCACTGGGGCACTGTGTGTGATATGCGGCGGTACGATCGACACCCTTGTACGACCGCCGGGACCTCCGACCAAGTCGATGAACGATCATCCCGTTGTGCGCTCAAGCTGAATTGGAGCGCAGGTGTGCTGACGCGGAGCTGTGCTGATATGGAGCCACGCTCAAGCAGGAAAGCCGAAGCGAAGTCGAGTTCGCACGATGTTCCAGTGAGGCCGTAATCACTCCATGTTTACCGAGAGGCGGCTAGCCGAGTCGGTCGATGCGCGGCGGCGGTGAACAAACCGAAGTTGCAGCAAAGCTGAACTTGAGCAAAGCTCAGCGGAGGCACGCTGGGCAGGCGCGTCGCCGAGAATGTCGACGTGCCAGCGATCTCGAACGGGAGCCGAGTTGATCCGTAGCTGAGCAGAAGCAGACACCTGCTTTGAAGATGGACTCCGACTTCACTCGATCCGACGTAGGGCTACCATCGAGTTTATCTGCGGTCAGCCTGAAGCCGAGTCGGTGAAATCGCCGAGTCACGGCGTCGCAAAGGTGTACCCAACATCCAAAGCTGGACTGAAGAGGAATGGATTCCACGCGGCCGCGGTCGTATTCACATTGAGCCAACATGAGCAGAGCTTGGTCAGGCGTTGAGCATAGCCAAGTCAAAACACCCCTTCAAAGCGCTGATACTTCCGCTAAGGGACAGAGCTGGTCAGACAGCCAGCTGTGTCGTTCGCTCAGTCGAGCTTGCCTCTCACCTTGCTCAACTGGGCTAAGCTGAAGCGGAATCAATTCCAGGTGAACATGAGTCGCGCTAGACCCGGGTTGATTCGTGGCAGAGCCACAGAACATGGGGATCAAGTGGCGCCTAGGCGAATTGCAGCAGAGGTTTGTCTTGAATCCGAGCTGAATCGGGATCAGGTACAAGTGCAGCCGAGGTCAGCACCAACTGAGCTGAACCACAGTCCAGCTGAAGCCGAGATGCGTTCAAGCAGAGCCGAGTTGAAGCGCGACAGTGCACGCTGCGTGGAAGTAGTTTGACGCCGAGTTCAACCAAGCCGGAACGGAGCCGAGTTCGAGCAACGCTTCGAAGAAGCGCTGGTCGTTGGAGTGGAGCCGATTGAAGAGCAACCTTGCTGAAGCAAAGCCACGATCAAGTTGGGCCGCTTCGCGTCCAGTTCCAGTGGGAACGCATACATCTCGGTCTTGTGCCCGGTTCTCGTCGGATTCCAGCCGAGACGAACTAGGTCGAGCCGATGTTATGCGCAGCCGAGTCCGATCAGAGCTGAGCTGAAGCGAGGCTGAGATCGCGCTGCGTCCTAATGTGGTCGCGTTCGCACTGGGTTGCTGCGAAGCCGAGAACATTGGAGTACGATCAAGCTGGAATGGGATGCCGAGTTCCAGTAGTGCCACGGGTTGGATGGCGCCAATCTGAAGTGTACTCACTTCAACGGAAGGAAACACTGGGCTGAGTTGCGGTACGCCGAGTTTCAGTGAGATCGCGTTCGGAAGTTCGCCTAGTTGAGTGCTGGTAAACGCACCATGTTCCGATTGGAGAGCGCTCATGCCGAGTTCGAGGTGTAGCCGAGCTGAGGCTGAACACGCTTCACAGCTGAACCGAAGAGACTGAATTCAAACTGAGTTTGAACGCAGCCAAGCTCGCGGCGAGCCGAGTTGGAATGTGACCGAATGAAGTGCTGTTCCAGTCGAGCTTGACCACCACCATCCCAATCAAGCTGAGCCCAGTCGGGGTAAGCTGGTCTAACAGAGCGGGAGACATGCCGAAGTCAAGGTCCGTTGACCACTGAACCCAGCTCGGCCCGTTCAGAACAACTCGACTGGAGCATCAAACGCATCAGGATCGCCTTGTTCGGCTACAAAATGACACAGCAGCGGCGAGAGCTAACTCAACGCACCAAAGGGAGTGGGGCAAACACTTATCAGGCTAGTTGAGCCGATCAAGCGGAGGTTGTGTTCAAGTCCAGCCGAGTTCAAGGTCAGCGGATAGCAGCTAGTCGTCAGGACAGCCGAGTTCGGACACAGCTGAGTTCAACTTGCTGCTGCACTTCTCGCCAATAAGCTCAGCTGGGGTGAATTTCGAGCTCAGCGCGGCCCAATCGGGGAAGCGTTTCTTGGCCCGCCAAGTTCCCGGTGCCTTGTAGCATGCCAAGACAACTATCAGGCTTCACTCGACGCACCGAAACGAGAGGCACGTGCTTACCGGGTCAGCCGAGTCGCTGGCAGCATCCATGGCTGCTCATTTTGACGGAGACAGAGATGCTCGGCTTCGTCGGTATTGCAGCTAATCGAGCACTTCCCCGACACCTGCATCACCTACTCGCTTTGCTGCGGCAGACCCAACATCACCGCTAGTACTCCGAGCTTCGACAGGGGCACCAGCTGACTTCGTATGGTTCAGTCCCTGCTACCGGCTGCCACGCCGAGACGTCCATCCAGGCTGATTCGCTGCTGAAGTGATCCGACGACGGGGTTTGGTGCCAGCGATAGGGGCACCTACATGTGTACAGACCCATGAGGCGCGGAGTCCACGCGTCAGACAAGGCCTATACCAAAGATCAAGGCTCAAGCAAGTCTCACCTTCACCGAACAAGGGCGTCGAGCTGGCGTTGCGGGCGGTTCTGGCCACTCGAATTCGGGAAATGTGAACTCAGAGTGTTCGCGACAGATCGGATTAGACGTAATCAAGCGTGCGACACATCCAGTTGGCCAGGCCACTCACCACTCCGGCTCGTAGCATGGCCGGGGCAGTTGTGGTGTAGGGAACATCAAGTTTTGTGTCACACTCCACGGCCGCAGTGGAACAACGTACCAGGAGCCAAGTCCTACTCGGCGGGATGCCGAGCTCAGTGGGCAAGAATGCGCTGGTGGACGACCGCTGAACTCGGCTGATGGTGTCAGAAACTCAAGGCACACCGGCTTCGACCTGGTGACACGTGGCAGGCCCAGTGATGAAGACCCAGCCGAGTTCAGGAAGGCACTGGACACACTCAGCCGAGATCATGGGGAGTTCAAGCCGCCGAGCTCGGCTAAACGGTACCATGTACCGTCCGATACGGTAACCAGGCTCAATTGAGTCCGGGAGTCGCGCAGTCGAGTTCACGGGTCGCTCCGCCGAGTTCGCGGGTCGCTCCGCCGAGTTCACTGGGTTATCCGGCTCAGCCGAGTTCACCGGCTTATCCGGACACTTTATCCGGCTCAGCCGAGTTCGAAGAGTTATCCGGACGCCTTATCCGGACCAGCCGAGCTCAAGCGTCGCTGCGCTCAGCGAAGGGTCGGCCGAGATCCAAAACCACCCACTTTCATTTGGTATTTGTATAGGATCTTAGGAATAGTAGAGGCGCCCCTTCAGGGCGCCCGACAGAGATAACAAGCAAACAGAGCATAATTTTCTAGGTCCACAACACGTGCACGCGCTTCCAGTAAGCCCCTGCACGGGCCGGATTATGTCTGCTGTCAGCACCCGAGAGGCATAGCTTGTAGGGTGTTGACTGGTAGCGCCAAGAGATTAAGGTCGGCCCGGGTTGGGCGCGTGTCTCGCCAAGCGCGAAGGAAAAGTCTCGCCACCGCTGCGAGCCGGTGTTCCCGTACGTCCCGGGCACTGATTGCTGAGTCGAGAAGCCTTTGCTCTCGGCGGCCCGTAAAAGCCCGCGAGGGCCGTCGTCCGTCCTTTGGCGGAGGGCACGGGATTTCTAATTCCGGAGTCAGGTAACTCAGCTGGCTTCCGTGATTGATTGGCTTGGGGTACTTGGTCTCGGCGAGGACGAGACATCACTGTCCCGGAAGGGCCGAACCGCTGGGGGACATCTCAGCGCAGGCCAACAAGGGCTGACTGGCTCAGCTGTTGTTGTGTTTGTAGCTAGGGTGCCACATCTGACGATTTTGTGCGTGCTAGTACACCACACGTCCGAGATTTGCATCTCAGATTTAGAGACCGCCAACCTCATATTAACTGACCTACAAAGTCCTACGTGGGACTCGGCAAAATGACCGAAAGGCACAATACATGGAGTATTTACATGAGCTATAAATGTACGTTTTATGTTGTGCCACAATGTATAGGCATCTGTATACAGTATATTGAAGTTAAGTATAAAGGCAAAGAGGCAATCTTATTGGCTACTATGGAGCCAAGCACTGCAGCTACGAGGGCCAACCAAGTAGGAAAGACGGCAGCAAAGCTCAAGATACATAAAGCCGGGTGATGTTCATGAGGGAGATGGCTTTGTCGCCATCGTACTTCCAAAACTGACGGCAAAGAACAATTCAATACACAACATTTCAAGTACACGCCAGCGATGGCATCTGAAGGCAAGAACGCGAGCGGCCTCGAGTCCTTCAAGGGCAAGGGGTACGCGATGTGGAAGGACAAGCTGCTCACCCACATCAACACCCAGGACCAGCTCTACAAGCGCAAACAGCTTGAGAAAGGGCTGCCAGACGTGCGCGTGTTAATGGCGGACTTCCTGCGGGGAAGCCCAGAGCAACCGCCACCGGTCCCAGAGCAGGGTGAATTGTCTGAGAAGGAGTCAGTGGCCATGCGATGGGCGGTGATGGATTGGGAAAAGGCAAAGGGCGACCTGCAGAACCTCCTGAACCAAGTGCTCCCGAACTTCTTCCTCTCGACGCTGCCAGACCTGGTCTCTCAGATGGAGCCATGCGAGGTGGTTAAGGCGTTGGAGAAGGACTACGGTCAAGGAGACGCAGCCGGGCTAATTGAGCTGACCCGGGCTTGGTCAAAACTGGCTAAACGTCAGTGGCGCGACCTGCGCACTCTTTTTGGGCAACTCAAAAAGGCCCGAAATGAAATTAATCGAAGGACCCAATCCCTTCTGGGAGAGGACATGGTCAGTGAGTCATGGCTCTGTGTCGAGGTCTTGTCCCAACTCCCGAGCGAGTTTTGGGCATCGTCGATCTCGATGAAGAAGGGCGAGTTCACGGTCGAGAAGGTCGAGAGTGCGCTGCGTCGCATCTTCAGAGAGAAGTCGAAGAAAGAGATCTCGGGCAACATGGAGAAGGGCATCCCGATCAACAATGTTCGCGCTAAGCCAGCGCAGAAGCGGAAGCACGTACCTAAGACTGAAAACGAGTGCTTTTATTGTTTCGAGACGGGGCACTACAAGGCTGACTGCCCGGTGATGACTCGGGACAGGGACCCCAACAGAGAAGGGGGACAACTGTTTCAGACGGATGTGAAGACGGCTCCCGGGGCCAACAAGGTCAATCGTCGGCTGATCTCGAAAAGATCGAGCGGGAGGTAAGAAGAAAGTATGCATCATATCTATACAGGTTACAGAGGCTTACACTAACGGATGACCTGTGGGCTGTGGATACAGGGGCTGGCCATGCTGTAACACCAGACAAAGGGTGGTTCAGCAGCCTTCGCCCAAGCCACGGACACCAGTTCACATACGGCAACGGATCTACATCTGAGAGCTCACTAATGGTTCAATACAAATTAGTGTTCTAAATTCTGATCACAATATGAGTATCATAAAGTTAAGTTATGTAGCCTTTGATAAGCAATGCGATAGTAATTTGCTGAGCGCATACTATCTAGCCAAACAAGGATATAGACACTTGCAATCAAGGACAGGTGACTTCCCATTTTTCTTTGGTACAGAAGGCAAATTTCTATTTGCAGCAGTCGCAATTGGTGAGGTTTACTACTTGCCAAGTACTAAGCATAGAAAGAAAATGATACTGTCTGCACAGACACTAAAATACGAACGCCTAATAAAGGAGTGGCATTTGAGACTCGGTCACGTAGGCAAAGACAGACTGCTGAAAATAATTAGCAATCTGAAAACAGGAAAATATCTAAATCTGAGTTATTCTAGACTCAAAGAAATATCATTCTACTGTAAAACATGCCCGGAAATGAAGGACCGACGCATGTCGTATAGAAACATGGTGGGAGATAAGCCGACGGAGCCGCTACACACGCTCCATATGGACACTACAGGGCGCCTTAAACTGAATGGTCTGTACGGATCATTCGGCTACCGATATGCACTTGCGGTGGCAGATGGTGCAACTGGGTACAAATGGTATTTTCCGTTGAAATCCCTAAAAGAAGTGTCAGGGAAAATCAGAGATCTTCTAAAGCAACTCTCTGTTCAATTTCCATACAAAGTAAAGAAAATAAGAACAGATGGAGGTACAGAATTTGTAAATAAGGAAGTTAGCAAACTCTGCACAAAATTAGGACTTATGTTTCAACATTCAAATGTTGAATCACAAGAAGAGAATGGGAGCGCAGAGAGAGCACACCAAATCATGATGGGTGGTGTTAGATGTCTACTTAGAGGCTCTAGCATGGCAGCAAAATGGTGGCCTGAGGCCTTACTTTACATGGTCGAAGTTACAAACCGCTTGCCAATGGCTAGACTCGGAATGAAAACGCCTTATGAAATGCTCCATAAAAGGGAATGTAACGGTTTAGCGTTACAGATCTGGGGATCCACGTGTTTTGCACACATTCCAAAAACCAAAAGAAAAGATCCTAAATTAGGTGGTCGAGCAATAGAGTGCAAGTTATTGGGTATATCTCCCAATTATAAAGGATACCGCCTGCTTGATGTCAAAGGAAACAAGTACATCACTGCAAGAGATGTGAAGTTTAGCCCAGTAGTTACGGAAGCAATGATCAATCAGTCTTTCCCAACCGAAAAGATCGTGGAAAGCAAAAGCGAGACTCAGATTACTTCTGATTTAGGAAATAGATCTAGAAAGGAGAGCGAACCTGAAGTTGAAGTTGTAAGTTCACAATCGGTCACGTCTGAACCGACATTGCAAGAAGTGGGAGATGACAAACAGGATACTAATCAGAGACCGCGCCGCTCTAAGCGGCTAAGGTCGCAAAAGCCGACTAGTGCTAAATCTGTGACTGCTAAAATGTGTCATATTCCAATTCCTAAATCTTTAAAGGAAGCTTTTGCTGGGCCATATGCCAAGCAGTGGGAGGCAGCCGTAAAGGCGGAGTTTGAAGCGCTCCTGAAAAATGGAACATGGACTCTCGTCCCACTTCCGCCTGGTAGAAGAGCATTAGGCTGCTATTGGCTATTTGATGTTAAGTACAATGCGGACGGTACCGTAGATAGGTTTAAGGCACGCCTGGTCGTTCAGGGCAACACCTAAATGTACGGAATTGATTATAAAGAGGTCTTGTCCCCTGTTGCTCGTTACGAGTCCTTGCGTCTACTGCTAGCGCTGGCTACGTCGCTTGGCCTGCACTTACATCAGATGGATGTATCAACGGCCTTTCTAAATGGCCTGTTGAATGAGAGCATCTACATGAGACAGCCCCTTGGGTTTCGCCACGGATCGGCCTCCCTTGTGTGCAAATTACGCAAAAGTTTGTACGGTCTAAAGCAGGCGCCTAGAATTTGGTATGGCGTTCTAAATGAGTTTCTAAAGTCTTTAGGATTTTTGCGGTGCAAGAAAGAGTACTGCTTGTACCACAAAAAGTGGGAGGTTGATGGAGTCGTCCACACGCTTATTGTTTGCGTGTATGTGGATGACTTGACCATTGCGGGTTCACATCTGAGCTCGATCCAAGAGCTAGAACAAACTATCAGAGAAGTTCACAATGAAAGATTTAGGAGAGCTACATTATCTTCTGAAAATGGAAATCAAAAGAGATTTAGAAGCTAAGACCTTGCGGATCTCGCAGCACAAGTATATTCATGACTTCCTACACAAGTATAATATGCGAGATTGTAATACTGAGCCAACACCACAGGCAAAGAGTATTATACTACAGAAGGAAGAGACTCTTACGCCAGAGCAGATCGCGGCTCAACCGTTCGATTATAGAGGATTAGTGACGAAGTAATGATCCCGCTGATCAAGACGCAGAACATGGTCGACGAGGCCGAAGGGGTCCACGTCAACGGAGGCCCGGTCGATGTGCTGCAGATTCCCGGCCGAGAATGGAAGGAGTTCCGGTTGCAACGGAAGCGGCCGCCCCCGACGACTCACGTACCGTGGATCCGACGGACCGACAAGCTCATCCCTACGGTGAAGCGGTTCCACAAGGGACGCCCGCAGCGGATCCGACTGACGAACATTGACACTCGGCTCACGATCTGCTCGGCTCACACGACCTTCGTGGTGTGGGTACCCGTGGGGTCGTTGCCGAAGTCTGAAGGATATGTGTGACTCGACTCCGACAAGTATCGAGAATGGCAAGTTCTTTCCTACGAAGCGGTCCGCGATAAGACGCTGCTCAAGCGGGAAGCCGAGCTTTACGCTCAATGGTTAGCCGGCCAGCCGTCGGCAGTGGACCGACCCGAGTACCCTATTCCAACCGGACTGCTCCAACGTTCTCCCGAATACTCTCGGGGCGAGCAAATCTCGGAGCTGTTCGACAGCGATGGGGGTGAGGATTCTGACGGCTTGCCAGTGGGCAATGATCCGGGACCAAGCTCCTTGGGACCAGGCAGAAGCAGTCAAGTCGCTCCCGACGACACGCCAGCCGATCCACAAGTGGCCGAAATTGCTCCCGATCAACCCTCGATAACTCAGTTTCCGACTGTGGCGACAAACGGAGACACTCCGGATTTGAAACCGCATTGTGACCTCACCAATGAAGCACCGACAACTCATCTGGTCCCCCGTTACGACGCGCACACTCCCCTCGCTATGGCGGAGCATACCTTGATGTCGGTGATGAGCGTACTGGACATGGACGAGGATGATGCGACAAATGACAGCGCGTGGATACCGACTGGAAGTTTCCCGACGACTCCTACTGCGTCAAGCCTCTCAAAGACACGGCTCCCGAAGAGTCATACGGGGTGCGTGGTATCTTTCGCGGGCTTGACACAGCCTGGGCAGTATCGTGCAGATGGAAGCTGCGCATGGATTGTGTGGCGCCTACCGGAGTGGAAATTGATGATTGCCGCGAACGCTTACCTCGCCGACACGACGAGCCCCCTTGCCCAGAGCGCCGGTATGACATACGGCGTGCTGGCGGCTTTACAACTCGGTGCCGACGACTTGGTCGCTGTTAGCAATTCAAGGCTGGCGTTGTTGCACTCGCTAGGGGCAGCTGACTCCGGGGCGATGACTCAACCGAGTTACCACGAGGAGGTCAAGGCCCGACTGTGATCTGTGAGATACATTCACGTCGCACAGAAATACAATGCTGCCGCGGACTCGCTAGCTTCTGAAGCGTTGGAATCTCAGACGTCGAAGGTGGTTTTGAGTGGCGATAGGAAGGCCACGCTCTGTGAGCTCAACCAACTCCAAGCTGTGATCTACAAAATTGATCCAGACGGGATATCCCCGCAGAACGTGCTTCCCGGTGATTCTTTTCGGTCCCAAGATTTCTCCAGCAGTAGTTCAAGGAGCATTGAGCCTACCATGGCCGCGCCGATAACTCGGTC